TAAAATTTTTACTCATCATCATTTCTCCCAGAAAATTATTTGTCATACTAAACTTCATGGTTACATTAGCTCATTGCGAATTCTAATTTGAAATGCTGAGCTAGTTTGGTACTTTGATGTGTTGATTCAACAATTGAGCGATTCTTTCAAGTGACAAACAGTTTAATATTACCAAGAAAGCCTTTGAAATAACATCACCAGTGTAACTATTGAAAAAATTGAAAGAAGCAAACACAACTGTCCATGAATCATACTACGTATGAATCACACGAGCAAAGCATTTTCGTCAGAGCAAGGAGGAATGTATGTGATCAAGTGTGTTTGTTGGGGGATGCAAGAGCTGAGAAGGCTTGGGTTTTGGGGTGGTGAGCAGAGAAGGGAGTTAAGGGCTACTGGGGGATACGAAAGAGTACGCATGTGTACAATGTGTATTTGTGTGGGGTTGGCTGCCATTAGCTAATAACAGTACGATGATACTTTTGTGCGGGGAGAGCGTAAGTATTTTTGTTGTAGAGCTGTTTTCGTTGCTAAAATAATCTGATGCTGTTTGATTGAGAAGTTTTTATATTTCAGAAACGAAAATATCATCATGAATTTTGAGAAAATCACTACCTATTCGTAGTGTTCGTAGAATTATAAGTTGATAGAGCAGTTCACGAATAAAATTACCAAATGAGAAAAAAATCGAGTAGAAAGTTCTCATGATTTGACTCTACTACTTTTTGGTTGGTTTTAAATTAGTAATAGGATATTTTGATGAATAACCACAAAAATAAATGTTTTATGACGAAAACAATTTTATTCAACTCTAGAAAGTGGATTGGAACCGAAGTTTAAGATAAACTTTTTTATACTTGAAAAATTATAAAAATCCAGTTACTCGATCAACCCAAATCATGTTTTTGCTGGATAGAGCATTTATACTTTTTCACATAAATGTCATATAATGTGCATAATGTACTCTATATAATGAACAATGTTTATTTCTGTTTGACTATTGCTAAGCTTGAAAATATTGTCGGGCTGATGAATTATTTTCATAACGAGAAAAATTACATTATTTTCAAGTCTTACTTTTGGCCTTTCTTAAAATTTCAATAAAAAAAAAAAAAAAAACTTGTTCCAGTCCTTTTTCGATTCTTTACGTTAAGTTATTCATCCGATCTTTCACCATGACGAAGTACATCGTTCAAAAAAACGCCCTTGCGCTCGTATACCTGCGTATACTCGTGATCGCTCATACCTTATGACCCCGTCCACTGGTCGCGATGCTTCAATTTCCAGCGGCGACACACCCCCACAAACACCCAGAAAAAAAACGATCCACCAGCAGAAAACATAAAGTTCCGGCGCATATATAGGCACCGGAAAAGCAAATAAACAATTCAGAGGACCAAAAGCACACAAACACGGAGCGAAGCATAAAGAAGCACATCCCCGGCTCCTCCCCTATGTCCTTGTATAAAATTCGAAGCCGAGGATAAAGTTACGTTCCGTCAGACTCCGGCGAGCCTAGACACTCGGCTGTAAATAATTCACGGGCGCCTTTTACACGCTCGTATGTATACACGCACATCAGAGGAATGGAAACAAACAAAATGTACGACGACAAGAATAGTCAAATCGGACCGAAGACTACGGGACAAACATCTCCATCGGTAGGTGTACTTAGTCCCAGACATGCACGTAATTTATAAACCAAGTTGTTGTACATGGCCCTCGCGAGGAGGCATCATTATACACGAGTACACTCGAGCGTGCGCTAACTGTAATGTACGTGCCTAATATGCGTGTCCGCGTTTACCTCCCGTACGCGCGGGCTTACGTGCGCCTGCTTATACTCGGAGGCTACGCGCGACTCCGTAAAAAGTAGCCTTCACTGCGCGGCGTAGCCGCATGATGCACATGTAATTTATATACAAAAATCCAGGGAGTACCTGGATGCCTTACGCACTGATATACATATGCATGGGCGATACGACGTTACCGTTAGGGCGACTACACGTCAGGCCCATACGAGGCTGTAGGAACTGATTAAATTAAGATTTCTCGCGTGTAAGCATGTATTTATTTACTTTCACGTGCATGTTTTTTGGCTTCGAAGTGTAAAGTACATAGTCTCCTGTGTTTCTACACGTGGATTCACGAGAATAGATCGAGCGAAGAAAAGACTTATGGAAAGCGGTCTAGGCTTTGTGGGTTTTCGAGCGTGGTACACGTGGTGGGGGCGGGGGCTCAGTTTCAGCTTCCTTTACGGCCTGAGGTATTTCTCTTTGGCGCCATACCTCCTTTAAGCTGCCGCAACTGAGATACTGGCCGGGGGAAATGATTTCGGGAACTCTGTGGGAAGCTCAATTTTCGTCTTGGCTGAATTAGTGGGTATATATATATCCGCTTTCGTTATTTGACTGAAGGTGTACATGTGTTTTGTTATTGTGTGGAGGTACTTTTTTTTTTTTTTTTTTTTTTTTTTTTTACCCACCATAAGTTGAAACATGTGTCCTTAGAGTTGTAAAAACAATTTTGTGTTGACTCAGAGTTTAAGGGAATTTTTATCTCAATGAAACGACTATTTTTCCATGGGGATAAATTTTATGATGATTCATTGTATACCTTCTCCACCCAATAAAATAATTTGAAATTCCTTAGAAACGTAGGGCGTCAAAAATTAGTATCCGGAAAAAATTTTGTTCGACAACGTTGTTTAAAATTTAGCTCATAAGTAGAGTCTCATTTGAAATCCGTACACTTTATTAACTGAAGGAAACTAAGACCACTAAAATATTATCACCATCATCGTGAAAAAATCGTAGTACACGGCAACGCTAATGACAAGCTTTGCCAACTGGTTTATACATCATTTTTAAGAATGATTGTTTCACACGTGTGCCGTATATTTTCACTAGAGCAAAAAGAATAAACATGCATAAATTGTCTATTTTTTTATGCAAAATAAATTTAGAGTCTAACATGGGACTAGATCTCAATTGTATTAACTTACACTCTTTAATGCGTGTAATCAAAATTTTTGTTTCTTATAAAATGCATTATAATAGTCTTAATAAACATTTTAAAAACCAAATCGATGCTTCGTAAACTATTTCATGTATTGTATTAAATTAAATAGTTTTTTTCTTCAACGGTTAGCATAAGAAGGCTGTAGAGAGTAAAACATTTCTATCACAGACTTTACACACTTGTATACCTGTTAAATCTGTGACAGCCAAGTTTTTTCACTCCACAGCTTTCCTATATTAGTTTTTCCCATTGAAAAGTATCTAGTTTTGTGAAATCGGATAATCACTTGTTGTACCATTCATTTGGTTACTCTTCAAATTCTTATCCACGTCACCACGATGTATTTTATAAAACGCAAAAATTTCAACTACACGTCATTCGAAATAGTCAAGATTTAGAATAAAATTTTTTTAATTAAAAAAGTAGATGGTCAAGAAAAATGTAACTGATAAAAAAACACCCTTTTAGTTCTACCAGAAAAAATAATTTTCTCATCCTTATAGTTGAAAACAGGCATTAAAAAAAAATTGAAGTCATTTTTTTGTATATAACTGAAGAAGTAGAAGTCTTACACATTTCAACAAAAAAGTAGTAGATCTTTAAAAAATTCAGTTTCATAGTATTTTTACTTTTATTTGCAGACTCATCTTCATGCTTTAAAAATCGAGGGAACATCCAGAAATATGGAATAAAACTATTCTGTCGGTTATAACTTTTACAGCTAACATTTGAGTCCTAAATACGTTAAACAAAGTTGTAGATTCCACTAGAATAAAAATTTTTGTTTCATACATTTTTATTCAGAATATAATCTCGACGGTATATTAAAATTTAAAAAAATGTAAAAATGCCTTGAGACTCATATTAACTCAGGGTAAATAAGGGTTTTTAACTTTGCTTTACCTCTTTTTAAATCAATATTTATGAGTTTATACATTTATAAAAGTGGAATTCAGTAGTTTTTGAGTCCAATATTAATAAAGAAAAGAAAATAACAACAATTTGACAAACAACATTCCTTAAATAAACGTTTAAAGCTAACCACTTAAAAAAAAACAGCAATAACACTTTCATTTAACCCTAGTTGGAATTTCACGACAAAGTTATCGATGCAAAAGTAGTAGATCTCAAAAAAATCTTTTTTTTAAAGCCACTTTTTACTTTGGTAAAGAACGTAGCAGTTGTGTTATAAATACAAAAAAACTCAACTACATGTTTCATGATTAAATATTGTATTATTCGCATCTTAAAACCACACAACAGGTGCCGAGTGATGGTTTGTAGTAGTTTTCACGTCTTAGTGAAAAATTTTTGTTGTCATTTTTATGTATTCTCTTCTCTTGCTCAGATTTTTGGTAAACTCAGTAACAAATTATTTCTGTGCTGTCATTTTTATTCTCCTTTTTACACTTTCACTTTTACGTGGAATACTATATACTTAATGTTCCAATTGCTGTGAACACAATAAAGTCACAATCGTTACAAAAGTTTCAATTCTATGACAGACAATTGCAATAGAGAAATTCCCCGCAGTACAATAAACTCCCCTCTACTTCTCTATCATTGCTCGTAGAGTGACAATGAATGTTGGGTTACAAAAAACGCCTTTCACATACTAGCACTGGTCAATAGACATTCAAGGCCATCCAGTCAAAAGATTTTGTCACAGGCTCATGCAAATTCCAAAATTCCACAGAGGATGAGACCGCTCGAAAGCTTCACCCACTTCTACCACGACAAACTTCTCTGCGACTTAATCACCGGAGTCCACAAGACGTAATATCGCAGCTGACTGGTTTCCACTGCATATAAACGTCGGTTGTAAACGTAAACTCAGACACACGGGATAAACGCGGGAAAAGCTTTCACAAAGCCTCAAACTCCCCCGTGGAATCTTGTACCTAAGCCAGAATTGGCGCGCTAAACAATTCATGCGCTGGAAAACTTTAAACGCACGTGAACACCACACGTATATTATGTACCTGCATTAAAGAACTCGGGATGCGTTACGGTGCCCTTGGATTTGCGTGTCGGCTAATGTTACTTTATTCCAAAAGTTGTGCCCTGCACATGTACAAAAGTGGAGGGATTTTGCTTTTGAAGTTCGTGCGATGGGTTTTTTCTTTTTGGACTAGAATCACCGTGGCAATGGTAAAAAAAACCGAGTCGAGCGACAACTTGAACTTGGTTGTGAAGAAACACACGAATCAACACTTGAGGCAGGTGGCAAAATAAACTCAGCTAACAATCATCACCATGAATTCCCGATCGAGCATATCGATTCACTGGTTCACACAACAAAGAATAAACAAACAAACAAACAAACGAACGACACAAAACATACGGGGGATAAACCGAAAAACGAGTCAGACACGCGCCGTTCTAGTCTCTCTCGTAAGCCGGCACGTCAAAGCCCCGCATAAGCCGCGCACGCCGTAGAAATTTTAACGAGAGAAAGGAAAAGAGAGAGAGAGGCCTCCGTCCGGTCTCGACGGAGAACCACGCCGTACTAACTGGATTCGCTCTCGTCGTTGAAATGCAACGGGTCTCCCCTCGAATCTCTTTTTCCACGCCGTGTATATAACGTACGATCCGTATACCAGCAACAGCAGCATCAGCAGGAGCAGTCTGTATATGTATACGTGTAGGTGCACCGCGTCTACTTTGACATGCCGCCGGGCCGCTCAGAGCGCATGTGCCGATAATAATCCCCCGAATCCCCGAGAGCGTGCGCGCGCAACGTTCTGTTATTCGTGCTGCTGCTCTTTATCCGGACGAGTCAGTGAAAAAGTGTTCTTCCAAGGATTCGTGTGCATGAGTCCTTACGAGCGGTCAATGGAAATTTCCAAACTATAGAAGATAATATGACTAAGTGAGCTGTTTGACGAGTTGGTTTTGATATTTTGTTCAGGTGTACTATCACATAAATGTTATGAGTTGACAATCTGCTCTTGACAGACACTCGTCAAACCCTCAATCAAACAGAGTACACTTAAATTATAGGTGAAAATCTGACGTTGAAATCGCAACTCTTTTACTATTGTCTGAAGCTTCTAGTCTATCAGCATTGAATCTCATTAACCGAGGGTTTAAAAAAAGTTGTGCACGAAACAATTAATTTGACCAAAACACCGATGCAAGCTCGTTACATATGCCATACGGAGCAGTTAAAAATATGTAAGCATTACCACGACATTTCATCAAATTTTGGATCCACAATCAAGCACTTTTTCGTAGATTCTTCCATACACTTGTGTATGTACTACGTCGAAAGCTCAAGCACTAACATATACAGGACGGCAATACCGAACACAGAGAGCTTCGCTCAAAGTGTAGGAGAAAGTTTGGTGTAGAGGAGAGGGAAAGAGAGAGCTGAGGATGACAAGGCCAGACGAAGGGGTGCCGTAGGCTATGAGTGCGTGGGTGCGATTAGGGATCGGATGCACGGCAGTGGATGATCTTCGCAGATAGAGATACGGAATATGATGCTGTTATCGGTAGAGGCGACGGAGATAGTAGGGGTGGATAGGATTGTTTGACCCTTACAGTTCTCGTAATGGAGGCACTGTTCTATTTTAACATGGAAAAAGTCGCTCGAATGTAAACATCTGAGCCATGTGATAAATTTTTGCGGGTGGGAGTGGATTGGAGTTTTATAGCGGATAATTACTGTACATTTTTGATTGGATAAGCAGAGGTGAATCATGGTTGAACTAGTATGGCTGTTGAATGAAGCATTAGACCTTTTTCGGTTAAGTTATTTCAAGTGATGATATGGAAAACCTCAAAACGAAAAAGTAATTTGGGGGTGCGAAATTGTTCATTACCTACACTCGTACTTTCGTCTCAAAGAAAACATCGCTCATATACAAATTATAAAACTTTGATTGCTACTTCAAAAAAATATGCCATATTGAAAAAGCAGTGAGTTATTTTTTTCCTTAGCAAAATTAATTAAAGTAGACCGAGGTAACAGATTTTTCAAAAGTATGTTCATACCGACCAGTTCATTGCCGTACACGATGCGAACAATCGCGGATTAAAAGTTTTGACTTCCCTGGGAAGAAAAAAAATGTATAAAACTTGAACAAGTTGTACTGCTGGTATAGAAGGAGTACTAACGCGTGCCTTTTGAACTCGGACACAACCCAGGAATAGTTGTAAATAGAGTTTGGAAGAAGAAGTGCATCGACCGATGTTTTTCTTTTAGTCTCCATAGCCTAGAAAGAAATACCTTGAGTTTTACAAACTTCTCCAAATGGATATTCCCACCAAGAATCATGATATTCTCAAAGATTTTATTATTATTTTTTAGATCAATGGTCAGTAAAGAAAGATTGACCCTGTCTCGAAGAAAAAAAAGCTTAACATTAAGGTAAATGCCCCTATAACCGAACACTCAAGCATCTTAAGAACTTTGAAGCCCAATAAATGAAAAAATAATTATGTTTTATGCATTTTTTCAAAATCCTATGATGATGTAGAACATAATAAAGTGATTGTTACCGAAATTGTTGACCAGCTTTTTAGTTTAAAGATAAATAAATTATTACTCATATGCCTCTCCTTGTACTTGTACATAAATGTATGTGAATTGAGGTTCCCCTGTGTTTAAAGTTTAATGTACCTAAAGTTGAACTTTTTTGCGTGCAAGAGGATTTCATTTATGTAAGGAAAACAACTAAATAATCCTCATCAGTTAATAATGTGCATTAAATATTGCAGGAAAATAAATAATAAAGCGTTATTAACATTTATGAATGAAAAAACGTCTTTTCTAAAAGATTAGAAGTTATAGGTTAAGAGTGCGTTGTAGTACAAAACTAAACACAATGGACTTATAACTGAATGCAGCCGTTCAACTACGGGTGCACTTTCCATCAACTATGTACATATAAAGAAACACCTGCAATATTAAAGAAAAAAAAAATATATATATATATAAACATTAATTTTCATCAATGATTTTATAACATACCAGGCTATTGCTAGTACTCTTTTTTTTGTATAAAAGTATAACATAAAACAACCTTAAGTACTAATAAATCTTTCTTAGCAAACGGTTGAAGCAAACTCATAAAAATCATTTGAGTATCAAGTCCATAAACGTTTCCCCTCTTCGATAGAATTCTCACTAACACACATATTGTTACAAGTTTAGTGATCAATTGTTATTTAAAATGTAATCAGCGAAAATTTCATGAGTGTTCAGTTATAGGTACTGTTCGGTTAGGGACACTTACTTAATTTTCTTTTATACAGTAGATTTTTGTGTTTGACTTTTTTTACCATCGATTTATTCAATCTCATCGCTGAACCTTTATAAACAGTCTGCTTATAAATATTTGAAATTGCTGTAACTCTTCATTTATTTATTGACGATGGTGACCTCAAACTGTGTACGTCGCTGCAAGCTTTTTTTAACTTATTTCTACATTAGAATCTAAGTTACACCATCCGCTTGACCTGGTATGTGCAGGTCACATAAGGATTCTGCACATTTTCATTGAGCACACATTATTGTTCACAAGAACTGTCCACGCATTAATAACAATTATTAACCATAAAATGGTTTGTGCACATTTTTTTCTACACAAAATATTTTTTGCAATTATTGTTTTTTGTTCTTAGACAATTGTGACCAAAATATTATGCAAAATAACTTTTACATGTTCCAACTAGCGTCCCCCCCCCTCCCCCGTGACTTGGCTTTGCCCGAGAATCACTAAATGGAACACCGTAGTGTGTTGACATGAAATGAGAAACGTTTTCAGTGAAAAATTATACATTTAGTTCTGACACTTCTCAGGACAAAAATCTTCTTATTAAAAACATATCTGTTCCAAATGCATACAATTTATTTGGTCAAGTAAAAAGCTGTAAAAAGTAAAAAAAAGTAATTATGTTGAAAAGTACAGTGCATTCCTCATTTCATAATATAATTGTTGGCCTTTAAAGGCCGTTTATTTGCAGTTTCTCCCGTTTAATCTATGAACAGGGCTATTTTTCAAGGCTGTGAAGATTCAAAGCTCACTAAAAATTTATCATTAAAAAATTTTTTTCTCCTATCTCACAACTTTATTACTAGAGCAACAAATTACTGGAGCCTAATCTCTACGTTATTTATCGCAACAAAAATACAATTACATATTCTACCTATTTAAAAATCTGAAAGATTCGAAAGATGACTATGAGGGTTGTAGTGAAAAGCTGATCTCTCACTTAATAAATTCTTTCGTCACTTTCTTGACGCCTAAAATTGTATTCATAAGATGAATTTGAAGTTTTCCTTCTAATTCGACTTATTGTGACTTTTGGCATAGTTGAGACTCTTGTGAGCCCTAAAGGCTATTTTTTCAACTTTGTTAGGTTGTAATATATTTGTTGACAAGGTAGTTCGATGTCCAATGAACCTGAAAAGGACCGGTGAGCTTCTTGAGTAAAGTCTTTCTTGACTGAAGTTTCCAGCAAACGTAACTGCCTAGATACCTCAGGGTTTGAAGCTTTGGAGCTAGTTTTAGAGCTCTTTCCTGTAGTCTCCTGGTATAACGTCGAAGACGGTGTCTAAAGAACCTTTTTTTTCAGACTCAGTTGTTTTGGTGATCTAAGGTAGAAAAGTTGGTTCGTGATGCTTGCCCGTTGGTAACTGTCCTGTTGGCTCACATTTATTATTTTTTTTTCATAGCTGTTAGGTTCTCCCAGCGCAGACCTTGGAGAGGATCGGTGATTCTTGGTTAAATGCTTAAAGTTGAGAGGGTAATATAGGGTCGTCGGTCACCGGGGTTCCCAGCTTTGCGACGAACAACTCTGCTGGTGACGTCTGCCAGTGAATGACTGACTTGGTTTAACAGTGGCCGGCTTTAAATAGTCTTTGAGTTGACGAATCGTCTCCCAAAATCGTAGTAAAAATGTATTAGTTGGCAAGGTAATTCAAACTCAGGTGGCCCTTGAAAGAACCGATGAGATTGATGGTTAAGTAGGAACGTAAATACTTATAATGGCCCTGAAAAGGGCTGGTGGTGAAACTTGCAGCTATTCTTTATTATTATTCTTGATGATGGAGAGCCAGATGCGGGTAGCTTGACTCTTATCCTTTGAGTCTCTGTGTACGGAGACCGTATAGGAGGGCTACGACGCTGACCTAAGAATATCTCGTCTCTAGGTCGTTCCCCGGATAACCAACCGTTCATCGGTAGTCAGGAAAGTGGGCCTGGAGAATACCTTCTCTGTAGATATGCCGTTGGAACGACCACTAAGGAGGCCGTTGTGGCTGCCTGTACTCTTCAGGGCTGTCTTCTCTGGCTCGCATTTGAAGAAGAAAATTCTCTGACGGCACCAGGTTGGGTGGTTGAACGGCCACAAAGC